ATGGGTAATGAATTTATAAAAAGAGACATTTTATTAGCTTCTTGTATATAAGACGAAAAGGCTTTCGTTTCATTACGTTGACCCTGAGCCCAATTCTCGCTGCATTTGCTAACATATTATTTTAGCATTGTTTACATTTCGTCATAACTGTCAAAAAGGACACCATTCTAGGACATAGGACACAGCATATTCAAGATCTGTGATGCGATGCTCCGAACTAACTTATATACCTTTTGAGTGCCAACAAGCGGTGTCCATTTTCCAGTCTATCGCATAGTTGAATATTGTGGGAGAAAGGACGTAACCTTGACGGGCACCAGTTCTTATTTCGAAGGAGTCTGTCAGTTCTCCACATAAATACTGACGTACGCTGGTAAAATGCCTTTATGAGTCGGATGATCACGAAAGGTGTAAGAGTTCAGACTGAGTGAAGCAATCTTTGCTAGACCGACCATTGTCGAGATGACCTTCGCGTGCGGTTATAGGTTTACTCTCATCAAGAGGCTCATATCTGGTGTTTGGGTTTGGCTGGGGTGCGGAGTTTGATCTTGCACACCTATTTCAGAGATATATGACTGACAGGAAGTGGATTGCTGAAGTGTTTGGCCTTTTCGAAGAGCTCAAAGATTTGCATGGGTACTTCTTTGAACTTGCAAATTTAAGTTAAATTAAGATGGCAACGAGCGAGAATGCGAAGAAGAAACAGTTCAGATTAAGCTTGAGAATAAGGTAACCGAGGTGCAAATTATAAGTTGACACTTCCCCAGTAAAACGGCGAATAAAATTCTAAATTTTTATTTTTTAGAGGAAAACCAATTTAAACAAATAGTAATGAAATAGTTAAACTTCGTGCAAATTTACATAGTTATTAAAATTTTTGAAAATTTTACCTTTCAAATTTTGCAGAATTTCTGTTTTCACAATATTCTCGACTGAAAAACTTTGAGAGCATAATAGGGAGAGATAGAGAAAGTAAGGAATATAGGAAATTGATAAAGTAACAGAGAGGTTCAGGAAGAGAGGGGTAGAAGGCAGATAAAAGGTAGTGGAGGTTATGGACTTTTGATACCAATCAGCACGTCTGCCTGTGGTTAACTCCATTGACTTCAAGTTATACTCGTTTGCGAGGGATTCACTTGAATCACATGGATTTCACTTTTGATAGATTTATTCTCACCAAAGCTGGTAGTCTAACCTATAGTGCTTAAGCTATTTGAAGCAACATACTACTTTGGCCGTTCTGCCATTTCACTGTGGACTGAAGTCGCAAATAAGGACCAGTTTTTGTAGTAGTTAATCTAGCACTACTTACATGTACAACAATAAATATATCTGAAATGTGTCATACAAACTTCACTTACATGCCGACACTAAATTTTTTGTTTCTTTTCATGAAAATGCGACGAGAATTTGAAAATTATATATATGTATATATAAAATAAATATTTATATGTAATAATATTAATAAATGATAATTAATTAATTAATTAATGAAAAAAAGTTATTTTTCCAGATAAGATTAACGGTGATGACAATAATCAAAATTGTTGTGGGTGGGAGAGATTTGTGTACAATACAGAAATAATTTCTTCATGAGAGACGTAACTGCATAATATTGCTGCACGAACCTATGTAAATATATACAGATATATGTATTTGTGTTAAGGCTTTAGTTTATCATGTGGTATTGCCGGGTTAGGCAGAATCATCATTGGGTAATTATATTCTGCTGGGAGTTGCGGGTTTGTTGCGTTGTATTATTTGTATCGTCATCCTATTTTTATATTAGTGTTTCATCACATAAACGTATGAGATTTTCGTGTACAACAACATAACACCACTCCGACATAACGAAGATAAGGATGGAGAAGGCTGATAGCAAAAAAAGGGGCAAAGTCGAAATCAACATGAGAACAGCAAATGTTCTGCAAAACAACCGTTGAAGATAATAAAATTTTTATCAGTAGAAAATGTTGGTTGGAAATGTGCAGCACGCGCAATTGTCAGGCATATTTGAATTCTTACTTATGATTTTGGAAAGTCAAGCAAAATCGCTGAAAAGCTAGCTCGACAAATTAGCAACCAAAATACCAGATGAATGATAGAGTGATATAGTTGTTTTCTGATCAAAAAATCGCAAAATACCTTGATGGATAGAGCGAATTCACGTTAGTTAGTCCACTCCCCTTTCATTCAACATTTATCTTATTGAAAAGGTGAATATATAGACTTAAATTTTATTTTAATTCTATATTTTAATTAAATAGAATTTTATGCGAAATCAATCGCATCAACAAATTATTATTCGACAAAATTGCAGAATATTGTATATTTTAAAAATATAGGAATCTGCAATAATTAAGAATTTAGTTTAAAGAAAGAAGCTAAAATTAAAATTGAGAAAATTGGCAACAATGCAAAAAAAATAAACTAAATAAACTGTTGCAATAGGATAACGACAAGATTCATTTAAACAAATTCATCTGAAGGAATGATTATAAAAAAATCCTGAAAAATTCCCACAAAACTGTACAAATAAATGATACGTAGAAATGATGAGCGAAAATTAATTAATATTAATATAAAAGGGATTCAAAAAAGATCACAAATAAGCATTTTCTGTTTATACCTCCTTAAATTCGAAAAAGTAAAAACTTAGTAAAACCGGTTGGCGTAAAAATGGAAGTTAGCGAAGTACTGTATTCCCACTTCTTCTAAGAGCAATCTGCCAGTCAGTTCTGTTTTCGTAGGTAGAATGAAAAAAAAGGAAAGTATCTTTATATCGTTGCTAAAATCGTTGCTGAGACTTTCACGGTGATTTTTGTATAAAAGAAGTAATGCTTCGTGATAAAAATCATAGCGAAGGTTCAGTAATCGAATACAAATTAAAGTAGAGTAGTAAAGATAAAAAATGATAATACTATAATACTATACCGTTGGCTGAAGTCATGAATTAATTTGATGCTTCTCAACCATTTTTCTTTCATGATCTGCCTCGCAGACTTACTCAGCTTCTCTTCTTTCAGAAAGATCCATTTCTATCGAAAGAAAAATAAGACTGAGGACTTAAAAATGATAAAAATCAATTAAACCAAAGTCAATCGAAGAGTCAAAGAGTTTGAAAACGCTTTTTTCAAATGAACATTTTTTTGTTTCTTGGCTCATTTAAAACAAGGTAGAAAAGCAAGGGTAAACCAATCTTTATTTCGGCCGCAACAAACACATCCAGCAAGCTCATTTCGCAAACGGTGGGGTGCTAGGGCCGACTGATGGGATGACTGAGATTGATGACTGAAATTCCAGCGAAAGCGATCTCAACAAGACATCCTCGCCAGGAGTAAACTGAGCTTTTTCAACATTACCGAGTGTTATCGGAGCCCATTAAAGTAAGTAAAACTATAGCCATTACAATATTACAATAACCATTGAAAAGAGAAAATTCATACAAACCAAAACATCAAAAAGCAAAACCGAAATATAAACTGGGAAAGAATTGCACGAAAATCACATATTTCACAAACTGCATTTTAAATTTCGAAAAAAATGTGGAATTAAATGTCCTAAAATAAAAATTAATTTTGAAAGAAATTCAAATGCAATATTGCTTTGAAGGAAAACTTTTGTTTGAGCCTTGCGGCTGATGAGAAAAAGAGAGTTTTTGTACATTTGGCTGGAAATTCGTTTTTCTTTTCTTATTACTCATTTTCGCTGAATTCCTCTTTTACCTCAGATGTTGCCTTCTTATTGTGCGATTTCCAGTTAAAATGTCTAAGTGACGCTTAGAATTAATTTTTTAAAATAGAATACAAATTTTTTACATTCTATTTTATAATTTAACATGATCCCTCTACAGCTACGGGGACAGCACTTGTGGCTTATTTTCCCATACTTTCTATGACTTCACAGAAATGTTCTATGTTCTCCGATGGAGCGTATAACTGCGAAACAAGAGTTAAAACATCAATAGAAGGTAAAGCAAGATGTGTATATCAATTTGCGACGAAATATTCAATCTCAGCAAACAGATTCTGGTCGGCAAGCCAACTGTGCCTCCAAATGACTCATTTCCTCTTGTTCAAGAGCCTTAGAAATGAATAAATCTTAAGCTTTTGAGGCAGAAAAGTTCAAATTAGGCTCTCTTTGGTAAATTTTGATTCGTACAAATAGGCACATGAACTTTATGATCTCAATCATCAAAATGAAAAGAATCATTCTGAAAAAACTAAAAGGAATCATTCAATAAAAAACGATCACAATGATCCAAGTGTTTCCCAAGTTTCCTTATTCTAATAAGCCCGTCTTTTAAAATAAATTTAACCTTCAATGCATCTCTTTCCAGAGCTTCACACTCTTCTTTGTGCCTCTTCGATAACTGCTCTTCATGTTTTTGCGCCCTAGAAAAAAAGATGAAACCATATAAAATAGTTGTAATCAGATTTGGCAGCGAATTTGCAAAGATTAATTTTTCAAGCTCGTGAAAACATGAATAACAAAAAAATAAATTTCAATTTTCAATTTTCAATATATATAAAAATACGAATAATAGCTTAGCAAGTTACGAAAGGACTAATTCAAAGAAAGTATTTTCTTCCAATAATCAATTAAAAAGATAATTTTTCAGCTCACATGATAATTTTATCATTAATCTTATTGAAAAATTTTTTTACATCATCCACCATTTCACATAGGCTCTCTTCACTGGGTTAAGATAAGATCCTTGCACCAGAAAGCTAACTATGAAGTACAGTTGAACCAGCAGAAACAGTCATTTTTGATTTTCAATAATACGATTTTTTTCTTTCAAGAATCGAAACAATGATGCTTCTTGCTCTGCTATAGCAGCAAAACCACTATAACCATATCCCTCCTTTCTCTTAATTAAAGGCGAATATTTAATTCATTTTATCCGTTCTAATGTTTGCCTTTAATACGTCAAAGGAAAAAGAATGAAGCATCTATAACTCTTTCTTAATATTTGTATCCTCTTCAAATTATTTTGTTCAAATCGAAATATCTCCTTTCATTTCTAAGAAAACAAGAAATGCATACTTTATAGCAAGCCTTTTTCGTTCTTCGAAAAACATTTTCAAATTTTTCTCATTCATCTCTTTAACTCGCCGATCCTTCTCTGCCTTTGTTTTTATATTCTTATCCTAAAAACAGTTGAGTTCTTTCTTTTTGATGCAGCCAACTCCTTTATCAAATTTCTTTCATAAACATCCTTAATAAAAATTAAAATAAAAATGGTAACCTTAAATTATGGAGAAAACAATTAAAAAATAATTCAGACCTGATGTATTGCTCGAACACCTTCCATACTTTTTTTTGTTTGAGTTTGCTTTAATTCCTTATTTTCGGTTTCTAGCCTCATTTTTAGCGCATTCATTTGCTGTTTTTGCGCATCAAGAAGCAATTTACTAAAGTAAATTTAAATATTTATAAGAGTCATGTAATTCTAGACATTATTAATAAACACTTTATATCCATTTTAAAAAATGGAATTACTGTATCAATAGAAAAAAGAAGCAAGAAAATTTTTGAAGGAACAATGATAATAAAAAAGAAAATCTAAGATAAAAGATGGGAAATCACTTTAGAAGATCAAATTCCTCCTTAATATGAGTCCTCCGCAATTCATGACATTCATTTTCATGACGTTTCATCATTGCTGACCATTCATCTGTTTGAGTTGACACTAATGAACGCATCTAAATCATTTTAAGTTAGGCTTTAGCATAGAGTTGTACGTAAAAATAAGAACCTAATATGAGAACAAATTTAAATTATTAAAAAATTTGCCAAAAATTGAGAGAATCTTGTTAAATATTCATATTTAATATCCTCGCTAATAATATGATAATATGAAATAATAAGGAAAATCTCTTAAAAATTCATCAAGATTTTGATGAGGACATTTATTTTAAGGACACACTCTTATTTAATTTATCCTCTCAAATTTAAATTATCAAGGCAAATTAAAAGACAAACTCGGTAACTATTTGCCATAAAAGTGGATGGATCTGACTTTCGAGTAGATAAGGCCATGTGTTGCTCGACAGTCAATGAGTTAGATGTACGCTTCTTGGACTGTTTATTACTATCACAGATCAGCTTATCAACATTGGTTTGCTACAAAAAAAGGGCATTTGTAATTTGTCGTCGCCAACCTATTTATAAACTATGTTTACTTACCTATTTACTTCTTTGACAACTCAGGCAAAGTTTCATCTCTTCAAGAGCTATGCAACGAATTTATAACGCAATTAAAGAAATAGTAATCCTAATAACCTGCTGTTTTTGAATAGATTCTCGTTGTTTTTGATGACGTTTCTTCAATTCATCCATATCTTTTTGTAATTTCTTTGTTAGTTTCACAAAACATTTATCCTTCCTAAGTTCGCCAATATTAATTACTTCAACCTAAAATACTAAATACTAAAATAAATTGGTGAATAAATTGAAAATAAATTATTTTTCGGAGGACTGTAACCGTACATGCAAATAATTCATGCAAAAATCTAATTGAAACAAACTTAGAGGAAAAATAGGTTCAGAGAAATCAATAAAAACACCCATAAGCATAATGAATGAGGGCAGACGAGCTCCATTATGAAATCAAATTTATATAGATGGATTGATCAGATTTCTTGGACAGACAAAGAGTAGCGAAATTCCTATCGTCAAACAACTTTTTTCTTTTAATAGCCCTCACCATTACTGGTTGGCTCCGATGTCTTGTCGAACTAGATTAGATATGCCAGGAAATCCACTGGCGACAGAAATACATGAGTCGCCGGCATCACATCGATTTTCGGACAGGTTTACTCAGGCGGGGAATAGAACCCCAGCATTAGAGCTCCAAATCCATCAACAACCCGCTGAGCTATTCCACCCCCACTGTCAAACAACTTCTGTAATATTAATATATGCGAACAATGTAATCAGCTTTTTTCGCAACCGCTAATTTTGCATATTGTTTTTGTGACTACTATTAGAGATTTACGAAATTCAAGGAATAAGGAATAAGATAATTGACATTCTTGGTAAAATTTTTTAAAATAAGCGGTGGACGGCTACCATTTCTTGGAACAGAATGCACAAAGGGAATCGTTAAAATTAAAGGTAAAAATCTAAAGCAAAGCGTATAGACGTTAAGATGGTTAAATGAATGTTTAATTAAAATAAAATAAAATATAATAAAATAAAATAGTTAAAATAAAATCGTTTTAAAAAAATACCGTTTTAAAAGAAATAGTTAAGTGAAACGCAAATGGTGTTTATTTTCTACTTTTTGCATTCTATTTTTTATTAATTTATTAATTATTTTAAAAATGAACTATGCTGACACTAAATTGGCCCGGAAAATAAAATTTTTTTTATTTAAATTTTTATTTAAATATAATCGAATCTATTGCAAATTCAATATTTTTTTTACAAATATGTTAATTTCAAACTACAAATTGGATATGGCTAGCAGAGCCACTTCTGCTCAGTCTAGTTCTGCTAACTACTAGTACGATGAGAAATTTTTACCATAAAACGGTTTGTTTCGAAGCACAGGTGGGTCGCCAGCACCACCCGCAATAAACTGAGTGCAATACTATCTTTCTTAAATTAAATTTATGAATTAAACTTAGAGCTGATTTTATTAAACCAAATTTCGAATTATAAATATCAGATTTAAAATTAATATTATTTTTCCATATTGTAATAATCCGAATATTTCAATTCTATATCAAAAATTTCATATAACGGATAATATTTTGATATTTTGATAATATTGCTTCTTCTTTGGTAGACCAAAATGCGTTTCACTTAATAAAAATAAGATCTTTTTTCTTAGATTTAGTAAAGAGATCGCAACGGAATCACAAGATAATTTATAAACTGACATGAGATACAGTAGGTTATTGGTAGGAGTTTCATCACGAAACGACTATTACTAAACATTTATGTAAGGAATATGATAAATGATCAACAAAAATATTAGGGATGATGACGCTTTTTAAGCCGACCTCGTCTACACAATCCATCGCAATCGATTTACGTGTTCTAGAACTCGCATTTGCATCTGATATCGTCTGCAACATCTCTGGAGACGCTACATTCTGCTTTAATTTAGAGAAATTATCAAAAACCAAAGTTTTTCGAAGACCTATTGCAAGTTTCATCAATAGTCGAATAAACGAATATTCCACTCATTTTTTAAAAATGTTTCTTATATTTTACTTTCCACAAGCTCCGATAATGATCCAAATAATTGATTAATAAAACAAGCACAGTTTATAAACAGACACATTATTTATTTTTGGCTAAACGGTATCAATGATCAAGTAATTCAGCTTGTTTTATTCAATTTGCAGTGAATTTAAGAAAAAAAATCAGACCATTTAAAATTAGAACTAACTTTCAGTCAAATTATATGGAAATTAAAAAAATTAAAACTTGATAAAAGCAGGAAAGAATGCGAAAAACATCATCAAGTACATCGATGACTGCAGATGACACCGAATTATAAGATGCATTTGTTCAGTGAACTTTACTTGTCAAACAAAAATCATGAGTCTAATTAAGAAAGATTAGAAATTTATAATATTAATGAATCCATAAATTTACCAGTTCTAATTCTATAATACGCTTGCTCTTTTTGCTATTAGTAATATAAAAATCTATTAAGCACAGGCTAAGACTAAAAATACGTTGCTAACAAAAATGCGATTTTAATCCCTGTAATTTATTCATATTATTATAGATTTTAATAAAATAAATTATTAAATAAGAATTTTTTATAGAACTAAAAAAAAGAACGACAGACATAGATTTGCTTCGGAGAATAATTTTATTCTGGTTTTTGGTGCTTATAGTCCACGAATTATTTTTTCTTACTTCTTCGATTTTACAAAAGTGAAAGTCATTGCTTCTGTCAACATTTCTCTGGGGCCAATGCCTTTAAAATTTACTAAATGACGTAAATATCAACAAACCTTGTTTTTCATATCGTTTGACTCATTGGCCGATTTTACAGAAAATTCTTTTTGACACACGATGGGCGATTTTGAATGACTTAAATGATAAAGTAAACAGTAACATTACAATATTGAGACAAGTAATATTTCGTATTAACATCGTTCTTTAATATTAATTTAATATTAACAATTAAGCCAAAAATCTGAGATCAAATTCTCGATGTACTAGTTATATGGTTGGTTGTTAGGAATTAACGTAAATGGGATTTTTTGGAAAATTTTATAACTTTAAGAACTTTGGTATAAATTTCCATCTACTTCGATATAAAATACTGCAAAATACTTACTCAGTGCTCAAAATATTTGAGGTTCCGTTCAGACGCAGCAAATTGCTTTTAGCTGTAGCAAATGAGGTTGCTTTATTAATCGGAATTTCAACTATATCAGCTTCGTCCACACCCATATTATGTAAAGCTTCTTTTCTTTTTTCTTGTGCAGACAGGTAAGCTCGAGGATCAGCCAATGCATCCACCAAGCCTTACGATTCAATTTATCAATTTGATATCATAAATCATAGAACCTTCAACATTTCTTCCCACAAAATAATATATTTTCCTAAAAATCTTCTGAACGATTTACTTGTGATTAAAAGTGAAAATATTTACCACTTAATTCATCAGGAACATATGTTTTGATCACAATACGAACAAATAAAGCAGGTAAAACCATCGAAAAATTAGATTCAGTTCGCAAGGTGATATGCCGATATCCTGCTTGTAAACCATCCAAAGGCAAAATTCGTTGGCCAATTTGTTTGCCGTTTTCGTCATAGACAGCAAAGCGCAAAATAGCAAGCTCTGGTAGAACTACCTTCAATAAAATTTAAATTTAAAATTCTCCTTTTCTCCTTGCAAATTCTCCTTGCAAAATCCTTATTTACATGGAACTGTCCACTAAATTTCCACTTTTACAATTTTTGTTATGATAAAAAAGATAGCATATAAAAAATTACTTTACGAAAAACGAATGGATCACTGTTATAAATAGGATTGAGCCCATTAGCTGGCACTGTACGAGTTCGATGCTCTTTACGGATTGTATCCGTTGGAAGACCGTACATCTCCACCTCAACGTAGGTGCCAACCTTTTTATCCGACAAAAAATGACCGGATATTACCTACATTTAAAAAAAATTGGTATAGTTTTTGATGCTCTAAAATTATTTAGAACTTATCTGTAAATAATTAGCTTATGGCTTTAAAAATTTAATAAATTGCTTAATAAATAGATACTTAGTTAAAAAAATTTAATTTTAAAATTTAAATGTGAAAAAAATGAAATTATTATATGCTACAAAACAGAATATAAAAATCTACTTAATCAAAATCAAAAGTCTTATAGTTAATTCGGCACGAAAACCGCCATAAGATCCATGTCCCATTAACCAAGTAAATTTATTCCCACAAAACATAAGAAAATGAGGAGAAAAGAAGAGACGAATGGAACATAAAAAAATCAGAAAATGTAAAACCTTGACAGAACAGTGTGCTGCAATAACTCCATCAACGGGCGATTCAGAAAAAGGATCAAATGTCCTGTCTGGCCGACGCATGAAATCGGGTTTCAGAAGGTATCTACAATTCATTGTCACCGTATAATGCCATATTATTTGGCAATATTTCATGCATCATTACGAATTCAGTTCAAAACTAATCACATACATCATAAAGCATATGGAAACTAACTAACCCACAACCTCCATTATATTCAAATTTTCCATGATTAAGCTGCATGGGTACGTCAGGAGTTTGGAAATTCAGAGCGACCATTTGACATCCAGCATTCCAAAAAATCTGCGAATTCACTTACATTATTAAGTCAATTAGAGGATCTATCAATTAAAGTGATTATGACAAAACGGTTTAAATAGACAAATAAATGACTGATCCTTAATGAATATAATTTAGCCATTCACAGTTGATTAATTCATGTACCCAGTACTTTCAGTAATATAAATATAGATACTACCCGAACATTTCATGAAATAATTAAAACACCTGAGGTAAGAAATTGCTAGAATCAACTCGAGCTCCTTTAGGATATATACGACTTAATTGCCGTTTATTGTAATTAACGAATTCGGGAGCGCTTTGTTTCAAATAACCAAGACCCGTACTTTCCGAAAACGAAGACATATGGAAATGAAGATTATTCACTGAAACACAAATTTGAAAAATTCGAACCAATTCAGAAATTTGAATATTACCAAAAGGTAGCACTTTTTTGAAATATTATCAGCTTGGAAATAACGAACTTCCCACTGCAACAACCAAGCAAGCTTTTGCTTCGCTCACAATATTTATTAGTTTACACTATTAAAAGTAAAATATACGAGAAGAAATTATATGTGTATCAAAAAAAACAAGAAACTTTCAGCGACGTCGAATCCAGAAAACTTTACAGGATGAGTATAATTGACCAACATTGATAGTAAAGGATGTATATTTGTAGTTGCGCCCGTATAACTGTATTCTAGAAAGATTCGTTCTTCCTCTTCCTTGGTAAGAAATGGCTGAAAATGCGGAAACTATTTTACTTCCATTAATAACGACGAATCTTTTAATAGGTTCGAAGGTTCAGTAGGTAAAATTTGTTTGTGTTCGCAGCAACACCAATTTCTCGTAATAGAGCTCGTAAGCTCTATTTACAACATTTCACGAAGTGGAGATCGAACTTTTCACAAAAATTAATGTTATTATAAATATTTAATAAAGCAAAAACAATCTGGAGACTTTAAATACTCTTGTTGAAGAATAACAATTAATATCCTAAGTAGCTATGACAGTAGTCGATTAGTAGAACATGCTTTTGAAAAGAAGCATTCTCAACGTAACTAAATCGGAAAAAGAAAATCTAAGAGAACCTAAGACTAATAAGGTGAAAAACAAAGACAACACGAATAATTATCGTTACCTTTCAAAAAAAGCGAAAAAAAATACAACTGCAGTTTTAGAAAAGCTATTCAAATCAATTATGATTTGACTCAACATGCTTTAGATAAAACGCATGAATAAAGTAAAGCGATTTCGACTACGACCCACGCCCAACTAAACTCCAATTCAGATTCCAAAATTTACTGCTTTCATTGTGATTTATGATTCTGAAATAGGCTCTTAGCCAAAACCTTCTTTAAATCCTTTCTCTAAATCCTTGAATAAAAACAAGCAAAAAAACAGATATGAAAAAGAAAAAAGAAAAAACGCTATCCAGTATAGAAAATGAAAAAATTTTATTAATTATAAAGAAAAAGATAAAATATTTTCCAATAACAAAGCGCATTCTTGCAATTCAGTGATAAAATTCATTTTAGAATTGCTTTTATGCATTTATAAACACTTTGCATCCAATTTTTAACGATAAAACAAGCCTAAAAGTTAAAAAAAGAAACACGGATATTATGAAAGTACGATGAATTAAGCAGATGAATTGAAACATTTTTTTGAAACCAGTGGCGATTGATGAAAAGAAAAAAAATGGTGCAATAAACGAAAGTCCGAATGATGCGCAAAACCCACCTATACTTCTGTCCCTAAGTAACTCCTTGGCAAAAAAATCTCATCCTTTAGCGATCAGCCAAACTAGATATGATGAACATTGTTCGAAGAAGGAAAGGGACTAATTATGCAAATAAGTTTTTTTTTAATCCACAAGTTACAAGCCTTATATAATTCAGCAATCTGATGATTAGTTTTTATAATAAAATGCAAAAAAAAAAAAAAAAATGCAGTGATACTCAACGGAAAGTAAATCAAACGTGAGAAAATGAATTCAAAATTAATGATATAAAAAACTAGAAGAAAAATGGTGAAAACTATGATAAGACAACTTCATTTCAGTTGAGCATGGTTAAATGAAACATTTGTTTCAAAAGCTTCCTAATTATGAAATTCATTAAAAAAATACAAGCATATTGGCAAAAGTTCATTGATCTCAATCTCTCAATGAAATCTCTCTGAAAAAATCCACTAGGCAAACCAATAAACTGAGCATACAGGAAATGCAGTTAAAGTGTTTAATATAAATTGAATTTCAAATCAAAAATACATGCAAATGCAAATTTAGTTCTCTAGAATAATTTTGAAAAAAAAAATGTGCAGGTTTTTTTGTTGGTTTGGTTAGAATAAGGATATAAATGTATTAAGAATATCAGGTGGACAATGATGTAGGAAGATGGAAATTGGACTATCTTGAGATACTGACCATGCCATGACAATTCCTTAAAATCCAACGACTTAGAATAAATTAAATAATTAAAAATAAAAAAAACATCAAAACCAGTGAAAAGAATTGAATTTAAGAAGTCGAAATCCCCATTTAATCTAAACGGATATATAAGGCTTTATTTGAAAAATAAGCATTTTTCAAGTCAGAAATTTCATCAAATTCCCAATAAAAATTCTTATTCCACGTTTAAAAAAAAACTAGTTCATATAATTCAAAAAACTTAACTCATAAAATAAAAAATTTCATCATAAAAGGATATAATTTCTGGAAAAATTTGTTTGTGGCTCAACTATAAACAATATCTGGAAAAGTTGGAATTTTACTTCCTGAAATCACATACCCAAAGCTTTCCAAATAGTTAAGCTTAAAATAATATCAGGAAATAACTAATTTAATACATAGGGAAAAGTTAAAAGCCCCAGGAAAGCCTTCTAGATTGGACTGTTTAACAAGAAATAACATAAATATTAATTAGGACATTTAAAGAAACGAATCGAAAGTGCCAATGTGAAATCGTAATACATAAAAAATCACATATACATGCGTGCGAATATCGAAGATCAAAAAACGATAGAATTAACAGAAAAGCTAAGATAAATCTCCAAAATGACCTATTAGGAACCACCTGGAGTCTCCACAATTCTCCATCTTAAAAGCCAGTGGAATCAGCCAAAGCAGAAATGTTGTGGTGTCGGATTACTAGCTCAGATACATAAATAAATTACATAAAAATAAAATAAATAAATAAATTCTTCTCTAAGTCGCATACGATCCACCCCGATAATAATTATGACTAACAGCGAAAATTAGCCCTTTTTTACGTTTAATCTGGAATTTATTTTTTAGTTGCTTTTGTAAGATTAAAATCTTTCATTTTCTTTACTTCATTAATTTCTCACTAGAAAATATGAAAAATTTAATTGTTAACCTTAAATTCAATCAAAATAACAACATTTCGCAAAATATCCAATTAATAAAAAGTGAATACAAAGCGATTTCATGAGATTCTAACAGCAAAACCAAAAAGAAAAAGGCTTTTTTAATGAAGTTATATAGAAAATATATAGTTTGAACTGCCTTTTTGTGTTTCTGTTTTGCCGATGTTCTCCGTTGCAGTTGAGGATCGAGTAGTGCAGCGCTAAGACTCATACCATCCATTTCTGTGGTTCTCGAACAGCGTCGAAACGAGCGTTTACTACCACAACTGACAGACAAAAGTGAGTTGTCCGCATTTCGTTCGATTGTAATCGACTGCACATACTTTTTTACATTAAATAGATTATGAAAACGTAAAAAATTTTGGTGTTACAATATAAAGATATAAGGAATATTTCGCCGTTAATGAAAATTTTTTCAGTAAATATTTCACCAGTGATAAGTAAATTAACTTAAAATGCGATTCCTTATGATTATGTTAGCCGTGATTTCATAACTTATATAGAAATTTTCTCTTTCTAGTAATTATTATTGTCTTGAGTTTCTCTGTTATGCTGAGGGTAATTTTGTTTTCTCTTTGTAGAAAAGATAGCTTCTCAAATATTTTATCACTAAGAATAGTTTCCTACAACACATAAACCAGTCCATTTTATTAATCCTCTTCTCAATGAAAGAAAAAAAGATGAATTTTTCTAATATACTTAAAAAACGAAATCCACCACTATTTCGGAGATAAAAAAATGATCGCTTTTCACTACAATCCTTTTTTTAATGCCATCCATAATGATAAAGAAATCTTAATTCAATAAACAGACATCTCCAATTCAACAAACTTATGCATCTCTCGTATTGGTTTTTTTTCTCTTTTCTACTTACTCGTACTTCTTTCGCATCTTATCGTCAGTGATGAAAATAAATACATCGAATAATCGAATATTTTTGCAGTGCAAATCATTTCCTTATGCCATAGACATAGAGGCAAAAGTAAAGGAACATGGAAAGTAAAGGAAAGTAAATGACTGCTGCTACAATAAATCTGATCTATGAGTGCCTTGATTTGCATTTGCATAATTTATTTTATTTTGTTATGTTATCTCACTATTTCATAGAGAACCCTTATTAGATATTGCATTTCAACTGATGACAATTATTGCATTTTAAACAAAAAAATTTGGATATTGAAAAAAAATTATAGCTGAAAATAGATACTAAAATGAGGACAATCAACAGCTAAAAAATATTGAAAACGAAACAAAACGATACGAGTACAGGATATCCTTCGTATAATCTTTGGCTCCAGCAATCTGGCAAATAATAAAATGTCTTCTAAAGATTCTTAGCAATTTCTGCTATTTAAAAATATTTGTCAGTCTCAGTCCTCTATTTTTATTCCTCCATCTCTTCAAAAATTTCGACTAAATGTTAAAATGAAATAATGCCTTTTCGACCATCATTTAATCTTGGAAAATTTACCAATGTTTTTTATCTTATTTGAGGCCTTAAAAACATTTCAGTTGTACTCATTGAATATTTAGTATAACATGTGAGAGAGTGAAAAGTATATTAAAAAAAAAGAAAAAGTAACATGGATCTATCAACATATGTACATCCATAATTAACTCGAATTTTTAAAAATTAATTCCAAACCTGTCAACATTCCAAAAAAATGAAAAAAAGTAGTTCGCAAGGAATGATAAGTATTGAGAAAATTAAGAAAATATTAAAATATTAAAATTTGGAAAATATTAAGAAAAACCTGTGGTTTTTTCGTGAAACTAAGAGGTTTGAGTTTCGAAATGAAGTTTGATTTAAATTCTGGATGAGCTTCATCGATTTCTTTTATTTGTATATCTTCACCTTAAGATTGTTTAAAAATTAAAGACTGAAGAGATACAGCTATTTTAAAAATTTAATTTTTTATTGATTTTCTAGCATGACGCAAATGGAAAAAAGCAAAGAACCAATGAAGCAATGCGTTTTTCGCATTATCCTTTCTTCATATGTTTTCAAAAATTACATCAAACTACAATAGTATTAATATTAATAATATAAAACTACAATAGAGTTGACAGTAATGTTCCACAGAAATAAAAGGTAAAAAATTAAATATTTGAAAAAAGCTCAAAAATTAAACTGGTGCGAATAATTGATAAATGTGAATCTCTCGTTTCATTTTCTGGATGAGCCCTTTGGTCGCCTGCTGAAATACAATTCACCTAAGCCACTTAATAGAAAAAAATAGAGCTGCATTTTCAAATACCGTAAGTCCTGTTAAAATAGCATAATTTTTCTTTTTGTAAAAATAAAGAGAATAATAGAAATGATAGTGACGAAATTAATTAGCTACGCCACACAGTTAATTCAATTATTCATTTCTTTATAAACTTCCAATAATCTTCCCAAAAAGCACTATTAATAGGTAGAATAAAACAAAAGTTTAAAAAAATGGAAGTAATAAAAAAGTTAACTAACGCGGTGCGTCAATGTCTTCACCAACTACTGCCTCAGGCGATTCAATGGCCTCATCTTCTTCATCAAGCTTTCCTTCCCGAAGGAACTGGTCCATTTGCAATTTTTCGATATCCGATTTTAACCTTTTATTTTTTATAAGTATTTTTTTCCTGAGACGATTTGGCGACGGCAGTGGGATATTCGGTTCAAGCTAAAAAATTTACTTTTTAAATTTTTATCCCTTAAAAATTAAAGAACCTAACGAATGATCAAATTTTTTCTGCTCTCCACATAAATTTTCATGAGACAAAAATGTTATCAAAAAATGGGAAAACAAAAATTTTAGGAATTGCCCTTTTTAAATCACAGCTATCTATCCGTCTAAAGATCCAAAAGCCTCCAGGTGCTGGTCATTTACTGCCTCCGGGATTTTTCTGATCTGACAAGCTAGCGAAGCAAGCCTAACCAGAAGGTCACTGCTATGGAAAGAAACCAAAATTCTTCATATCTTTGAAATATATTTTGCAAAACCTTCATAATTATGTAGAAAAATTATTTCATCTTTTTATAGTTTAATAACTCGTAGAAAGAAAAGTTCACTGGATAATCGTCGAACGGTTTTGACAAAAGCATATCTCCAAAAATTTCCATACAATATTTTGCCATTTTATGCTGATTCGGACGCGAACAATGATTTTCAAATGATAGGATAACAGGAAATTCGGATCGAGCAAAAGCAGTGTCTTTTATTTGATACAACACATCCTTTAAAAAATTCAGTCTATTATGGAGAAGAATTCAGCGTGTTAATTCTCAGTATAATATTCGGCTAGATTTCGAGGTAGTAAAAAAATTTCATTTAAGTTTTTTCAAAACAGAACAAATGACGATTAAACTCTTATGTATGGAACAGATAGATAAGCAGATAGATATTTTTCTTGCACATTACTTGATTAACTATTACTTTTATAAAAATCAATTTGAGGAAACATTAAAGATAACAATATTGTTCCTCTGTCTATGACAAAGAAACAGTAGACAAGTGAAGAAATAAGGCCCGCTGGATGCATGAATATGGCACTCACAATACTGTTAATTATGAAATCTAACTCAAGAGATTTAGAGATAGACAGAATTTAAAGCAGTAAGATGACTGGAAACAACAGATGGTTTAGCAGTCTTAAATATTACAATGACTTACTTTAAAAAAGACATCGGTACACATTGCTTTACCATGGGTAATAATTGGTTCTCCCTTATTATCTCCCGTACCATCCCAACAATCGAGTTCAATACACCTTAAAAATTAATGCAAGTAATAGGGTCGAAACTAACTACCTAATATTTGCCTCATTTAATTATTTTTGACCGAATCAATGGTCAAAGAAATAATTTTTAACACTTAATTAATTAGCTAAAGTTTGGAAAAGATTTATCACATAATTTTTAATCAAAAATGAGGATAAATAATGAATGCATTTTCAAAAAAAATGATAAAAATCAACGATTTAGTAATATATGTAAATAACAGTAATAAAAGTAATAATTTTATATAATAAATAATAGTCAATAACAAAGAAATTTAAATTAATAAAATAACCAAATTTCCAAAGCAACAAAGAAAAATCAATAATAAAAAATTGTAGATATTAATATATACTAGTTTAATAATTGCCCTTCCTTCCCGTACTCCTTTCTAAAAACGGAATGATGAAAAAATAACTTAATTAACAAATATATAAGTCAGATAGCCATCAAATTATAAAAAAACATATCTATAAACAGGATGTGAAGGCGAATATTTGAAAAAATCAACATATTGATATATGATCAAAAGTAATAAAGAGAAAACAATTCTTATTACCTGCATCCTGACAACAGAACTTGTCGATAAATTTCGGTTGAACTCTTCCCACCATATTGCCTTCCTGTTAAATACGTATTGTGCGAACTGAAAAAGTTCTAATGAAACAAGAAAATAGTTGAGCGGAATATAACTAAGCACCTCAAGGAAGAAATGAAAGATATAAAGATCCAAGAGTGGTGATGAGTGGTAAAAGGTCTATGATGAGATCTGTAAGTGCCAAATTAGTCCGCAAATTGTACCATTTCTAGTCCTAAAGATCAAATATATAACTGTTTCAAAAAAATGATATAAATTTTTTTTTTTAAATGAATAGGCTGCTTTAAAAAAGATTAGACTTTTATTCCAGTGTGCTTAATAGCTTTTCTGTTTCGCAAAAGCGTAGTCATGTCAATACCTATTTATATAATAATGGCAAAGAGGTTGATCCATATCTTGATAAAGTTCGATCCTATCCAAAAATACAGGAGCATTCTCATTTGACATGAGAAAACGTAGAAATGCATCGCCAGACATTTTGCCTGCAAAAAAATACACATAAATCAAATCAAAAGAATGGTACAGAATTGGATTCTAAATTCTCAATTGCATACCTACAGAAGGAATTCAGGTAATATCATAAGTGAGGTCTAAAATACAGCAGGGCATAAGTGAAATTACAGTCCACAAAACGACCACCAACTCTGGGAAGATCATTAACGTCGAATGTGTTACGGTCGAGGATGAACTCGTACAAGCATGAATCACTATTGCCAACATTATTTGACTCAGAGCATCAACCAGGTTAGTCATTAAGACTCATCCTCAAGAGACTATAAAATCAAAGGGATCAAAGGGAACTAAGAATTATCAACACTGATCGAAATATTTCAAAATAGAATTTCTGTAGACAAAATATTAGATCACTCACCATTATTAACATAGTTTTCATCAGTTTCATATTTATTGATAAGCTGTTGAGTTCGTTTTTGATCAAAAAATGGAAAGAGAATTTCGTTAAGCCGTGGGTCTCGTTGTTCTTCATTAAGAAAATTTATTAAGCGTTCCATTGTAAGATATTCCTTTTGTCCACTTCTAAATTTTATTAATCAAATTATCAATAAATTTATTAAATATCAACAATCTTTGACAAGTTCGCTATAGATTTTAAATCATTAAACCACTGAAATCATAAAACTAATCATATCAAGCATCCTGAGGGTAAAATTACTTGGCAAAATCCGGATAAATCTTTTTGTCTTCAAGCAACCCTCTAGCAACTATTATCCTGATAGCCAGTAGAACGAGCTCAATCAGAAATAGTGAATGCTAATTACTTATCATAATAAAATAGTGTTTTTTAAATAAATCTGAATTGAAAATACTGAACTTATCACATGTTAAAGGTAAGCATATTCTAGTGATTAAAGCATCGATATACTGTGGTTATTTCTTCATGATTATTAATTAGTAAATAAATGATCTAATTGCAGTTCTGAACACTAATTAGATAATTACTCTATATTTATTTAACTTATTTTTAATTTATTTTTCAGTTTATTCCTCATATGACATTTCATCATACGCTTTTTTCGTAAAGTCATGCAAGCATACAGTCTAACGAAAAGTTCTTGAACATCAGTTCTTGGACAAATTTTATAATATAGACGTAAATATTTTTCAAATGTGAACAATTCGACATCAAGCTCTTCACGTTCCTGAAAACACTTGGCTCATTTAAGTGCAGAAAAAATATCGACTTGAATTTTTGAACTGAATGTGAATTTCTCCAACCTTATCGCCAGATAATCCGAGGTCACTTAGGCATTTTTGTACCATTTTTTCCGTTTTTCCACTGATGAACATTTTCACAATATTCTTTATCGCGATTTTCCTTCGATCATTCAATGATAAACATAAATAACGCCAACTGAAAATTGTATTTGAAATTATTTATCGTTGTTCCAATAAATTTTTGCAACCCTTAAAAACAACAAATACATTAGAAATGGCAGACATAATATGGGATAATAATTAATGGTTCATATATAGGCAACAAAATTTATAAAATTAAATCTCACATGGCTCATAAATTTTGAGAATAAAATCCAAGAAAAATATCGAATCAGTTTTAAAGATAAAAAATAAAGATAAAAAGACAAATTCCCAGTTGGAAATACAAAAAAAAATTATTTTCTAAAGCGTTGATATGGCGAAGAACTTTGCAATATTTTCAAAAATACCGCTACAGTCCCCAGAACAATTAAACTAACTTTTTCATAAGGCTTGTCATGTAGGAGATATGCTTCATTTTACAATTCTTCAATATTTCATTAATGCCATTACGCCATAGCTGGAAATAGTTGCGATACATCTCATTCATGGTTTGATTGTATTCTTTATTTCTTGCAAAATCATCTTTTTAAAAAACGCGACTTTCATTTACTCATTTTTTGAAACCCACAATTTTTAATTCGAAAAATAACCTTAGCAATTTCGATATCCTGCGCAACTATATAAAAACTGTTGACAGCCACAAGATCGAGACCATAAGTTATCCAAACTGTGCGTTCCTCTAATGTCTCTCTCGGACCTCGCTGCTCTAACTCGAAAAGAATTCTCCCATCTTTTGGAAGACCAGCTACACGCGCTTCCCATAACTGCAACCGATAAATCAAAGAAAAATATGTACTTTAACCAAACATTCTGTATTTTTTTTAAACCAAATAAGTCTTTTTCAGATAAACAAGAAAAAATTTCTTCTGAAGAATACGATGAGCGGAAAATCCAAAATTTCCAGTTTACTCAGCGGAGATTCAAAAGGGAAAAATTCAAATCAATTCCACTCAATTTAACTGATATTTTTAACGAAATGTGAAGTGCATGGATTAATGGAATGTCGTTAATTTATTATAGTTCAAATCAAAAAATCCCTTATTTATCAAAGCTTTTTGATGGAACGTATTTTGCTTAAATCATTATTTTTTCATTCTATACGAAGCATCAGTAAAGCATGCATAATATTGACCTCAATGAGCTGGATTCAGTCGACCCATGTAATAATCGCGATCAAATGAAAAAGTGAAATTAATAATCGAAATCAATGCTAGACGTACTGTTTTAATATTCATATAAGAATCAAACAAATTTTGTTTAAATTATTTAACTATAATGCGACTAATGCAGACATAAGACATACCTGAACAAGGTCAATAACCACCGCATCTTTACCTTCGCAAGACCAATATAGAAAAAACCCGTAATCATCAATGCAGACATGAGCGTTCAGATCAAGGCATGTACTCTCCTGCAACCAATGTGTATAAATTCGTTTATAAAACAATTGTAATGAATTTATGAATTGTAATGAATTTATTCCCAAATAATCCAAGTTATTTACATCTACCCTAGAAAAAAAAAACTGCAAAACTTATAACCGAAAACAAACTGAAGAAAGTTTCTAGATAAACAAAATGAATCTCTGCAGAAGATTTGGTATAATGCACTTCAAATTCTAGATTTTTGATAATTGATCTTTAGGGGCAGATTTCAATTTAAGTTTACCATGACAATATTAACAGCCAAAACTCACATCATCATAACGATCAAAAAAAGTTCCATCTATCAAAGCAGGAGGAATATTTGGCTTCCAGTTAAATTGATATTCCTTGGCCATTCCAAGAAAGGCCTTCCTATTGCCTCTCTTTCATTACCTAAAGATGGTACTTTTTGAAAAGTCTTGAACAGCCATTAAAAAAAAATAGATTCAACTACAAAAATACTGTTGTAAAATAAGTTTGGTTTATGCCCGAAATTTAGAAACAAAAGAGACTAACATTTAAATTTATGTGAGCTGTACTTCAACGGAAGGTTCTCAACCTTGAGTAAAACAGATTGATTCCGATGTGAATATAGGCTGTATCTCGGAGATATATGAAGGCCTAATTTCGATTCGAATGAGCAGTGTAAAATTAAAGCGATTTCTCTATTATAAAGGTTTAAAGGTTTATAAAGATTCTGATAGAAAAAAGAGAAAATGGAACCAAAAAGCGAATGGCGAAAATTTAAAAGGCAGAAACCATGAACTATCAGCAAGACTTGTTTAAACACAATTTTTAAATGGAAAATCCTTTTCGTTAATTAGTGAAGCAAAAAATTTTTTCCTTCTTCTAACAACCATTTCTGGTTTGGCTAATGCCGCAAAATGGGTTCCAAAATACCAAATGGATTTCATTTTTAATGACAAGTTTGCTCGGTCATTAAACAGCAGCGAATTAAGATAATCAAATTATGCAAAAATAATAAATGATGCAGCAATAAATATTAAACAAAATATAAAAAAGAAGATAAAAGGAAGTCTGGAATTGCTGCAGACTTTAACCTCAAGAGCTCACTTTACAATGTATAAAAGTAAAAGATCTCATAACTAAATTTAAACTCTAGATGGTGTTAACTAACGATTACTTCATATAAACATATTCTATGAATTAAACGGCTCAGTTTAAACTTTGAATGAGAAAATCCCCAAGTATGATAAGCACAGCTTTGTTAGCAATAATACTGTGATAATCGTCTGGTGATTATTTGAATTTATAATATGAATAAGATAAATATTATTTTTTCGTAAAAAAATAAAATTACTTCCAAATTACGTAGAAAAATAGGAAACATGATAAAAACTTGTTTATTTTACTACTATATTATTTAATTTAAGTCAAATAGTAAGATACTTTCCATTTTCGCTTCAGATTCTTCGAAATTTAAACATTCTTCAGATGCAATATATACTCACTGACGGAGCTTTAATTCATCTATTCAAATATAATTTATGTACAGGTAAAAGTAAATTATTAGATAAAAATTGAAGAGGAAGTCGTGTACGGCTAGAATGGCTCATATGGGTTCTTGGTCTCATATCGTAGCAAAAATGCTAGGGTACTTTCAGCAGAAGTAAATATGCTTTTCAAAAACCCGGCTGGTGTTGATGGCCCATCAGCACTTCAATTGTCAAGTGAATTTCTTAGTAAAAAATTTCCTAGTAAAATTTGCTTGGTTCGAGCCAATGCAGCGACCTTACCAGAAACGGTGAGTGTTCATGCCTAGAAAACTCATCAATGCAACAAAATAAGGATTTAGTGGTACTTGATCTATCTTTACGATAAGTTGAATGAGAGTTTCGGAAGCGATTTACCAAGAAAGTAACGAAAATTAAGTTCAAAGAGATTACATACCAGACGATGAACATTTATTATCAACCGCTTCTCTCTCGAACAGTACTCCATTCCTGGTTTGCTTGGTTATATTGGCTATTAGAATAAGGCGCTTTCACCAAACAACCTCTTGAGAAATGAGATACAAATGGGTCCCCAACACCACTCGGATTTCATAAACATTCCATTCGAGTTGAATGCAAAATGTGCTCGGTATGTTTTAGAGACAAGTTTCTTTCAAGAGAAGAGAATTGAGCCTATATTGGCTCGACGTTCGTCGAAGCAACTCCATTCTGTTCCACTGCGACTACCGGAAATAGCCCAAATTCTTCTTTTCGATATTCTCTATGATACCAATAGAAATTATTAACTAAGGGAAGGAAAAGCAGAAAATTCTTTAAACTACAACCATAAAATTAAACATAATTCCTAAATTATTAGAAGAAAATTGAAGACGAAGTCGTGTACGAGGGAGAGAGTAAAAGAAATATTAAGCACGACATCTAGGTTGAATATCTCGCATTTATATGTATTGTTTTACTCGACATACGCATTTATATTAATGCGATTCACGACTAGGAATGGGAAAACTTTTAGCAAAACAGCTTTCTCGAGATGCAAAATGGTATGAACAAATTGATAAAAATGATCGCCTGCGATAAAACTGAACGTGAACGAAAATCAAAAAATTCGATGAACTGCGATTAACGAAAAGCTACAACCCAAAAATAAATGAGGAAGGCACTTTGCAGCATAAATGACCAACAATTTAGCGACAAAAAAATGAAAAATAGTGGAGACCTCTTGTCGGTTAATTAGTTAAATTTTTTCTACACAACTAACTGCAAATATTTAGATTTTGCCAACTTTTTGTTCAAATTTTTTTGCGAAAAAATATGTCAGCAATTAGCGGCAAATTTATGCTAATGGAGAAAATGAGAAATGGTCAACATATTTCACATCAATCATTGGAGGTTTACGAAGAATGCCAGTAATGGCGAAAATAAGGTAGCAGTCAGCGAAACATGTTCTGTTGGTGCTTTATGCTTTATGAAAAAATACCTTCGATTCTTTTCAAACGATAATAGAACCAAGTTTTTCAGTATAAATATGCAATTTCCTGGCAATGATACTTTTTTTTCCAGGAAAAATACCAAACAAGATAAAATTTGCATATTTAGAACTAAAAAAAGAAATTTTCTAGAATTCATTGAAATTGCGAGATAAAAATTAACAAGAATATGTGTCGTCATAATAATTTCCAAATATGATTTTTCATGATGATTAAATGATTGAATATGAAGAGGAAAAGGCTAATGAGATGAACATTATTTCTGGACTACAAAAAGGTTTGTTGCGTAAGCGAAGCGAAACACATTTACATAAATTGAATTGAATTGAATCCGAAGAGCCGTTAAACATATATCCTTAGCTGTTGGTAATCAAATGCAAGAAAAGTTCGAAAGATTCGAAAAATTATCAGACAATTTATTTATTGGGATAACGAGCAACGAAATGATGAATAGAAATATTTTTGGTATTTTTTTCAGAAATTATGATGAAAGATATGGAGGAGAAGGATTAGAAATGTGAAATGAAGGACAATCAAACTGAACGAGGAGAAAGAAATTTAATTTCCAAGCCATCATCAGTTAACCATTCATAGATCGCAGCTTCAATAGTCGTCCAAAGAAATTCGCCGCTTGCCGATAAACCAACGATGCACTACTCTAATCAGAAATTCGCTAAAACCACTTGGCGACAGTTCAATAGAAGAACTCCAACAACAATCGCGAATTGATTTTGTAATGAATACATACGAAGTATTCAAAAAAATAAAAAATGCAAGCAAAAAAACCAGTGAAATGTAAATTTAATGAAATAAAATAAGGGCATTAATCATTGATAGATTATGCTAAATCAAAATTACTCATTGGGATTCTTAAGGAAGTAAGAAAAAAATAGGGTGAGAATATAGAAAGGTGATGATCGAGTGGTGAGTAGCCATCATAAATTTTCAATTCATATTCCTTGATGGGGATAAACTGGAAATGCGGCTGGTGTTTGTCTCTGGCGAGACGATTTCATTCTAAAAGATCCTAGTAGTTAGTGGAGAGTGCTAAACTAGCAATAATGATTGCTTTCATGAAGCCTTTCAATAGAAGACCAAGAGATTCGAATAATTTTACTTTCTTACGCAAAAAACTCATTATCAACTCATTGAATAAAAACATCCAAAGATACGAGTAGAGTAAAGAAATTTCCGTCGATCGAACCATTAAAAAACGCATCTCAATAGTTATGAACATCAATGTCATTCGAACATATGCCCTTAGGCGAATATCTATATTGATGGTCATTCAATAAAACATTCAAGAAATTTATCGATTGCTATTTATTTTTCTATTGTGAATAAAGCAAACCACAATAGCAAATGATAAGAAGGCTGGCAAGGCCCTTAATAAACTTTCACATCAAGTGAAAACCATGAAATGCGACACGAATTCGCAAATTAAATATCCCCTTGACGTTTCACCATGTCCATTTGGATTTTACTGAGAATGGAATTGAATTAAATCAAAGGCAGGATTTGAATAGAAGCAGGATTGACACTACTACCCGAGTTCTTTTAACAATACATTCATTCTTCCTGACGAGATCAGGAGCCGAATCGTTGCACCTTAATACATAATCTGATTTACGATTCACTTGGCTATCCTTTCTCTCAATACTGACAGAATTTTTCGAATGAAGTTCGTTCGAAACTGAAAAAGAATAAAGGATAAGGCACTGTTTCCCGGAAAAAAACCTTGAAAAAGCCTAATCACATGGAACATAATTATATCTCTACATAAACCAGTGCAATGGTGCAGTCGAAAACTAAAAAAATAAACGATCTAAGAATGGAAAAACTAGTCTATTCAATTCAGCAGCTGAACAGCTAATTAAACTGAAAAAAAAAATTAAACAAATATCACTAATTCTTTTTCTCTTAGTCTACCAACAATTCCCCTTGAAAGTGGAGATGAGTTCGATGAAATCGATCTATCATCACGCTTTGGATTTTCAATATACCTATACCTATATTACCTATATTAATAATATAAGGTGAAGACACGATAATCGAGAGATAAGCTGTTTCGACTAAGGCCAGGCCATGCCATCACAGAGTGTCTTATCTTGAGAAAACCTGTCATTAAAAGTGAAATTCTGAAGACATTCGTACTTCTATCATGACCAAGTGGTGAACGATTCTCATGCTATTATTCCATTAAGCCGGAAATGAAGAGTGCTTTCCACGAAAGAGAATTTCGAGATAATTTTTTTTCAGAAAAATTATGCTCTCCGATCTAGTGGAATGGAGAATTCGCCACGATGAATGGTGCAATCGAAAACTAAAAATAAACGATCTAGGAAAAAAGAATTAATAAAAGCAATTTAAGGATTATTTCGCAGGTTCAAAATT